GACTAATATAAAACATTTCAGATACTAACAAAAGTCCATAGATTGTAAAGTGAGTAGCATTCCCATAGATACTTTAATACGACCTAAAAAAGCCAGAGAGTAGAAAACAAATTATACAGAAATTCATAACTTGCAATATTAATGAATCTCTGCATGCATTGTTCTTCAATATATGGGGAAAGTTCCCTCCAAAATGAGAGCCAAGTTGCCAAAGTTTTCACCACCAACCATGAAAAACAATTGCAGTGTTTAGTCTATTTCTCAGGATTTGGAAGGCTTCATATCATACGTTTGTTATGCTGTTTTAGCACATCTCTTGGTAACCTGTAAAGCCTCCAATTTTAACTTGATGCCAGGAAAGAATGGTCTTGTCACCAGCTCCAAGTGAAATCACAAATGTACTTTATAAACTAAAGGTACTGAAGGTGTCAGAAGTTTGTGGGGCATAAAGATATATATTCAACCTCTAGCAAATCTTAATGAGAAGATAATAATATATTTCCCTTGGTTGTAGGATATAGGTCTGATTCTACTACATTCTTGACATGAAAATTGTTCTTGGTGGATGAATGAGCTCTAGACAACAGTATTGCTGATTATCAAATAGAATAGTTTTAAATAATCATAAATTTGAATGTGCACAATAACATGCAATTATAAATCAGAAGGTGTACATACCTGGCATAAATAAATCTGGTGAGAATTGTAAAAATTAGAGCAGATGATCCAGCAGTTGCACTTCTTAGTATTTGGTATGATTTGGATATGAAGTGTACCACAAAAGTCTACGTCTTTTGTCCCTGGCTGTTAGTTGTTAGATATATTCTTGAAAGTTTAGGAGATGGAATGCCACTAACACAAATAGAACACATGGGGTGGTTCTTAGGAATACCTTCATTTGTCAGTCTCCTTCTCTCTGATTTCTGTCTGAAATGAAATAAATAAATAAGCTCCTCTGCTGCATGTTCCCACTCCCTTGATATCATGCCGAAATACTTAAGATCAAATGCTTTTGGAATAAATATGAGCCAAAATAAATCTGCCTTCCTTATGTTGTTTATGTCAAAAATCTTGGCCATAATAGCACAGTCCTAATACTGTATTTGTCTCTAAGTAACTGACAGCTTTTGGTCAGACAAAACTTTGAGCAATAATGTTATAGTAGCTTTCTTCATAGTTTCCAAATTTGGATATAACAAAGATATGTTTTGATGGTGAATGGATTGATTGTAGTACACCTTGACAATAGAATGTTATTTGAGTTCCAAAAGAAGTGAATTAATAAGCATGAAGGTTCAGACAGTACAATTAAATGAAAATTGCCAAGTCAAAGTAGTCACCATGCAAAAACTACAATTTGTGATCATAAATAAAAAAATATTCTGGAAAAAGAAAATCTATAAAGACAGTAAGAAAAAATCTGTTTTTCAGTATTTAAGAAGATGGGAGGGATGAAAAGATGAAACAAGGATTTTAAGGCTGAGAAAATATCCTATATAATAAAATTGTGGTGGATACAAATGATTGTTTATGTGTTCAAATCCTACAGAATGTGAAATACTAGGAACTAGCCAAATATATTCTATGGGCTTTGAATAATAATGTGGTATCAATGTAGGATCATAAATTCAATCATATATATCATTATAATACAGAATACTTATAGTGTGGGAAGGTGCACATGTTTAAGAAAGGGGTATTTACAGGAAATCTATAAGTTCTGCTTAACGTTCTGTGAGTATAAAACTGCTCTAAAAATAACACCAATTAAAATTGATAAGCACACATCTTGACCTGTTTTGGTGTCTTATAGAACTTCTTCCTCAAATTTACTACTTTATGAAATGAACCTTAAAATGTTATGCTAATTGGATGGAGGAGAGGGTTACAAGGCCTGATCCATAGCAGAGAAGCTGTTGGCAGTTGATGGATGTTGAATGAGGGAGCATCAGTTTTCTTTGGATGTGTGGCAACTGATAGGTTGCCCATGCTCCAGAGGATGGCTCTATAACCATATGTGTTACCTGGACTCAGTGGGCAATTTTTAAAACTGAGAAAATGGAATTAGGAGGGACCACGTTGTTGGACAGAGTCCAGGAAGAGTTAGATGGAGGTGTTGGGGTACATATGATGAAAATAGATTGTACACATGTTTGAAATTTTCAAACAATAAATAAATATTACTTTACAATCAGTAGAATGACATCTTAAAATGTCTGTAGAGACCAGGAAGCTAGAAAGAAGCCAGGGTAAAAGGGGGGTGTCTGGCATATACCCAAGGAATGTTCAATCACACAGCACAGACACATGCTCAACTATGTTCATAGCAGCATTATTTGTAATAGCCAGAAGCTGGAAACAACCTAGATGCCCTTCAACTGAAGAATGGATAAATAAAATGTGGTACATATACATAATGGAGTACTACTCAGCAGAGAAAAACAATGACATCATGCGGTTTGCAGGCAAATGGATGGAACTAGAAAATATCATCCTGAGTGAGGTACCCCAGACTCAGAAAGACCAACAAGGTATGTACTCACTCCTATGTGGATACTAGATGTAAAGCAAAGGATAGCCAAACTGCAACTCACAACTCCAGGCAGGCTACCTAGTAAAGAGGACCCTAAGAAAGACACAGTGACAATGTGTCTCTGCCCAATGACCGAGAAATGGATGAGATCTATATGAGCAAACTAGACATGAGGGGGTGTAATGGAGGACAAGGGTCGTGGGAAAGAGAGCTTAGGGGAGTGGGAGGTCCCAGATGTTTCAGGAACAGAGTGGGAGAACAAGGGAAGAGACACCATGATAAATGAAGACCCCATGTGAATAGGAAGAAGCAGAGTCCTAGAGAGGTCCCCAGAAATCCACAAAGATACCTCCACAATAGACTACTGACAGTGGTTGAGAGATAGCCCAAGCTGACCTACTCTGGTGATCTGATGGCCAAAAACCCTGTCATGACAGAACTCTCTCTCATCCAGTGACTGATGTAAGCAGATGCAGAGATCCACGGCCAAGCTCCAGGTGGAGCTCCAGGAGTCCAACCAGCGAGAGAGAGGAGGGATTGTATGAGCAAGAGATATTGAGACCATGATTGGAAAAAGCACAGGGACAAAGAGACAAACTAGCAGAAACACATGAACTGTGAACCAATAGCTGAGGAGCCCCCATGGAACTGGACCAGACCCTCTGGATAAGTGAGACAGTTGATTAGCTTGAACTATTTTGGAGGCCCCCAGGCAGTGGAAGTGGGACCTGTTCTTGGTGCATGAGCTGCCTTTTTGGACCCTAGGGCCTATGCTGAGACATTTTGCTCAGCCTTGGTGTAGGGAGGAGGGGACTGGACCTGCCTCAAGTGAATGTACCAGGCTGGGCTGACTCCCCTGGGGAGACCTTACCGTGGAGGAGGTGGGAATCAGGGGAGTATGCAGGGGGGAGGCTGGGGGGTAGGAGGAGGGAGGACAGGGCAATCTGTGGCTGATATATAAAATTAAATTAATTATAAAATAAAAGTATATATAAATAAGTCAAGAAATAGTGCTATTCAGTCCTCTGCAGGAATAAATCTTTTATGGTACTACATGCCTGTCATCTTAGCTTTCTACAGGCAGGATGATGAGAATCTCAAGGTTATTTTTGGGATACATGTTGAGCTTTGAGGCCTACCTGTGATACACAATATTTTGCTTCAAAGAACAGTTTTTAAAAAGATAGCACACATCGATAATACATAATGTCCTTTTTGCAGCTCAGGAAGGAATGAAAAAGTCATTTCACCTCAAGTACAATACAAGGATGTTTCTGAATATCTGCCTAAAATGTACATAAGGCATAAATTAAGATAAACAAGTATCTTAAATAATTTTGTGAAGTATAGCTGAACAGAAATGACTGAGAGCTCTGGAAATTGTGTGGTGGCAAAGTGTTTTCGATAAAAGCATGAGGACCTGAGTTTGGATCACAAGCATCACTTCAAAGGTGGTATATATCTGTAATCCCAGTGCTGCAAGTGGGGTAGGAGAATTCTAGCAGTTCATTGGTAGCCAGCTTAGCTGAATCGGTGAGGTTACAGTTCAGTGAGAGACCCTGTACAACCCAACCCAAAAAATTGAAGGATAGATGTCAACCTCTGGCTTTCAATCATGCTAACCCTCACACACAATTCCATACAAACACAAACACTACACACACACACACACACACACACACACACATATATACACACACAACTATCACAATATAATTAACAATTGTAATAAATCAAAATAAATTTATAATTGTAAAGTTATCACTAAATGCATAGCCAGGACACTTGATTTTATTCATTCTCTTACCTCAACTTTATCTTCAGCCTGAGATCTTTCAGATCCTTTATGTCCTTGAAATTAAATTCCTAATCTAGATTTTACTGATTTTTCCAATCTCTCTTCTTATTGATGCCCTTGCTGTTTCCCTTACAATAGTAAAAGTTAGTTGAATGTTATAGTTGAAGCTTTCTTACTAATTACATAAGAAAATCATTAAAAAAATGTCAGTGCTTGCCAGGTGGAGATGCTTCAATATGGAGACTACATGTTAAATCTTCACTTAATCTGCCTAGCCTATTAATCCCTACATATTTCTAGAGCACTTTTTCTATCATAACATTTACTCATACCTAAAAACAGTATTCTTCCTAATCAAAAGTAATGAGTATTTTAAAATAATTTTCCTTCTCAAATTGGTTCCTGGAAATTTGTTTAGGCTATAATCAGAGGAATGAAATAGTATATAAAATCAACCTATTTCAGAGTCAGTATGTGAAAATGAATGCAAATAAAATGAACATGTTTTTTCAATGTGAAATATATGATCTCTTTTGGGTTAATCAGCCATCTGTGGAAATGTCTGATAAAGGTATTTCAATTACTTTTTAAATGATAAACAGATGTGAAGTTCTCTGTTATTGTTCAAGTTAGTTTAGGTGGTGATACAAAAAGAAAGGAGCCAACATCTAAGTGACTGAACACATAACAATTTATTTATTATTCTTAAAATTTTCATGGCAACTTCATCAGTTTTCCAGGACAAAACCTTTCTAAAATGTGACATAAAGATACAGCTTGCATCATTCTTGGAGGTTGGCCTTTGCTTTCCAGTTATGGTAGGATGTAAAGAGACAGCTGAAGTGTCATGCAGGAATTGTTTCTGCTTGAGGATAGAAATGACACATCACTTCTGTTTTCAAGTCCTCTGTTGTAAGTAGTTAAATGGGATCCCCTAACTACAAAGAACAGGGAAGTGAATGGGAGCACAGAGCTATAGGATGAATTGTAAATGTTTTTGACATATTCTACAAATAATATAACTTTTAAAAACATTTAATGAATACTCTTGAAAAAATTCTATATGGATACAAAATACTCCTTAAATGCAATAGTTTTATCAGCAATATACATATAGATATATTTTAAGAAACAGTTGTATTTATGAAACTCCAAGGTGATCTAGTATGGCATTACTACATTACTCCAAGAACAATATTGAGAGAGTCTAATATTACCCCTGCGACATCCTTCAGAGATATCAAGTCATTTATCTACTAGATCTTTTATATAATTTTGCTTTAGATTCAAAGAATCTGAGGTTAAATCACCTGTCTGAAAGAAAGAAACACTGAGCCTCTCTCATCATGCCAAAATACTTTGTACCATGACATTACTTGTGTATCTACTGCAATAGGTGTTTTTGAAACATAAGCTTATAATTTATGCTACTCTGATATAGAAATGTAAAGTAAAAATATTTTTCAACACATTTTTAATATTAGTAGTGAACACGAATCAGCAACAGACAGACACAAGGCACCGGATCTTAGTAATATATGGACACAGAAAGATAAATGATGTCATTATTACCTAAATTTAACTTCCATTATACTTCAGTACTAATGTTTAGGACAAAAAACTTTTAATGAACATACTAATATTTTGGCAGTAGTTTATGTAACAAGACACAGAGCATACTAGAAGTCTGGCCCTCAACTTGCTTATTAGTAAACCAGCATCAATATGAAGGCATTACAATTTTTTTACATGCTAAATATTTTGGCAAATGTGAAATTTAAATGCACTAATGAGATGAAATTAATATCCAAAATTTAAGATATGAAAAACTTGAATCTTACATCTTCACCATAAAAATTATATTTAAAAGGATCAACACTCATCATAAAGAATATCACTGGATAATTAAAATGACAGTATGAAGTGTGCAAAAATCATAATGCTTATGAATAAAAACAAAGAAACAAAACCAGGGACAGTTTAAAATGATTCTCCTTCAAATAATAACAGTTAATTCAAATTATGTAGTAATTGAATATTAAATAGCATTTAGTACCGGAGAGTGAATAGTGCTGAAATGGAGGTAAATGTCATAGCTTTGGGGGCTTTATGCTGTAAACTGCCTTCTTGTTCTCTTGATACAGTACAAAACAACATTCTACAATTTCAGCATATAAGAAATAAATGGTTGCTGCACTGGCAAAAATAGGATGTGTAAGGATTAAAGGCACACTATTCAGCTAACCAGAGTAGCAAACACACACCCCTCCCGCTCCCTGACGTGAGCCCTTCCCCAATGTAAACAAAAATGTCTTGAAAGAAAATGCAACACCAACTAAACATAGCTAAAAAATTAATTTTTGAACAACAATGCTGTCATATCTTCAAAATGTCAACTGTAATTGTCACCATGTTTCTGACTGTATTTTAAAGATATGTAAAAATTACATACATTTAACGTTAGATATATTTTTGGTCAAAATTATTCATTATCTAAAACATTTTAATTGAACTCCAAACTTTTTAACATTAGTATGACAACTGAGTTTTGGTTCCCAGAAGAGTACCTATTAGGCATAATGACCGACATTAAACAAACAAAACTCTATATATAAGCTGCAGGCAACAAATACAGCCTTTTCTGGCACAGTGGCATTTTACTGGCAACTTAAAGTCCAGAATAACTCTATTAACACAGAGAATCTCATGCATTTTGGTAAATATAACCTAGCTTTTCACAGTTGAAGTTTCCTTTAGATTTTGCTTCATTTTAAATATGGAAAGCCTGTTTGGTTTTCCTTTCTGTTACACTGACTTGTGACTTGAACTAGACTTCTTCTTCTTCTTTTTCTTACTGTGTTTCTTGTGATGTTTCTTCTTTTTCTTCTTTTTCATCTTTTCCATTTCTCTTTCTTGCTCATCGTATTTTCTTTTCTTTTTTGCCTGCACCTCCTCTTCATAATCTGATTCGAATGAGGATTCTGAAGAGGATGGCTTTTCCTCAGGACAAGTCTTCTTTCTTTTCTTGCTGTAGCTTTTGGTATATTTTTCTTTTTCGGTTTCATCCTTTGCTTTTTTCTTCTTTGGGGGAAGCTCCTTGCTTGGCGATTCTGATTCAGAGGTGGAGTTTTCAGATGATTTGTGGGAACGGTTCTTCTTTTTCTTTCTCTTTTTCCCTTGTTTCTTGGGCTCATCCTCAGAATCTGAAGAACTGCTTGACGAATCAGAGCTTGATGAAGAGGATGTATACCGACAAGACTTTTTCTTTTTCTTTTTCTTTTTTTCTTTTCTTTTGGATGAACTGACATTTCCACTTAATACTTTCTCTCTGCTTTTCTCAAGCTCCTTCTTCCAATTTTCATTCATTTTTTCTTCAAATTCAGCCAATGCCTTGGAGCCTTTCTTTTTATTCTCTAATTGTTTCTTTACTTCTTCCCAGGTAGGCCTTGGTCGATTCAGATAATCTTGTATAGTTGGGCCTGTAGATTGGCTTGCACTCCTCCATCTGGCCATTGCTATAGGATTCATATATGCTACTCGGTTATCACGTTTCCCCATGGTGTGCCAGGTGGTTCTCAGAGTAGACTACCAGTTGCCAAGGGGAAGAAGGTTAGGCACACTCCTCAAGTTCTTCATCTGCTAGTTTACCAAGTAGTCTCCATTCTGTGATAGAAGCAGATCAAAGAATTACTGAACACCTTTAAGACAAAAAAATATATAAGTATAACTGTTCATTTAATCAATAACCATTATGGAAGAGGAAGGGGAAAGTTTTATAAATGAAAGGTAGGGCTGGAAAAGAGCAAACCAGCACTTTCTGAACATGCAAAGATTGCTGCACTCATGAAGTCATAGTAGCTGTGGTTGTCTGGACAAGGTCAAGCAGTCAACATTCTTGTACAGAGCTGAGAAGAGCTCCAGGCTCTGCCTCTAATAGAGGAGCTATTGAGTTGATGGATTCTAGGGAGGAACAGCCAGTTTTTTAAGGGTGTGGCTCCTGGTAAGATGACCATGCTCTAGTGGATGACTCCATACCTATGAGTACTTGAGCAGCACAAATTAAGATTGATAGCATTATTTTAAAAAGAAAACTCAATGTTTGGGGGTAGAGGATGGAAGAGTGGATATGTGAGAAATTAAGAGGTAAGTGGGGGTAAATATGATCAAATTACACTATATGAAGTTCTCCAAGTATTAAAATGTTGTATTTAAAAAGAAAATTTCGGGCTGGAGAGATGGCTCAGAGGTTAAAAGCACTGCTTGGTCTTCCAAAGGTCCTGAGTTCAATTCCCAGCAACCACATGGTGGCTCACAACCACCTGTAATGAATTCTGGTGCCCTCTTCTGGCCTTCAGGGATATGTGCAGCCAGAACACTGTATACATAATAAATAAATAAATAAAATTAAAAAAATGTTTAAAAAAAAAGAAAATTTCAAAAATATTACATTTTAGGTAATATTATATCAATTTATTTTGCATAGCAAGACACCATTCTATGAATTGTTATAAAATTAAACACATTTTATATATTTCACATAAGAGACTGACAGGTACCAGAAATGTTTAATAAACATTTTCTTTTACATAGCATTTTACATACCATCTTTTCTTTTCTTTCATTATTGCCTTACATGGTAAAAACAGGAAAATTTACAGCTAAATCTACAAGGCAGATAGATATTCTTTAACCTAGGTAAGTACAGAAACATCTATTCCACTTCTTTTGACAGAAACCCAGATATCCACAGAGAAACCCTGTCTTGGGGGGGGGGAGAAAAAAAAGAAAACCAGGTGTCATACCTGGGAGATCCTTATTTCTCATCTCTCATGTCCAAACCATTACTAGATTGGGCTGTTTAAACCTTCATGATAGTTTTCATTCTATTCCCTTCTTTCCAAATATGTTGCAATCAGCTTTGTCCAGGCCACTATTACTTCCCATTTGAGTTCAATCTTTAGTATTTATTAAACATTTATAACCATAGACTTCTTTAATCACTAAAATGAATTGTTGCATTCTTTTTTTTTTTTTTTTTTTTTGGTTTTTCGAGACAGGGTTTCTCTGCGTAGCTTTGCGCCTTTCCTGGAACTCACTTGGTAGCCCAGGCTGGCCTCGAACTCACAGAGATCCGCCTGGCTCTGCCTCCCGAGTGCTGGGATTAAAGGCGTGCGCCACCACCGCCCGGCGAATTGTTGCATTCTTATCTCAGCCTAAGACTATGAAAATTTGAGCCTATTATTATACCCATTTCACCAATAAACTAAGGCTTAGAATATTTGGGTATAACTTTCATGGAGAAACAGAGCTAAAATTAAGACATAAATAGGACTTAAGTCAAAGCTGCTTTATTTTCAGCCCCTAAGCACATAACACATTGTATTTCTCCTTCATGACTACTTTTAAATTAGTTGTCCTATTTTAATTCCTATCTTCCATTACAGGCTCACAGTAATCTGAGAGATCATGAAAAAAATCTAGAAGCTTTACATTTTATGAGAATTCAATAAAATTGTTATAAGTGTATTATTTGAAATACCTTGTTTCTCACTCTTACTTTAATCTAGTCACTAACTCTTGTTCCCAGTTCTCTTGGTTCATGAAACATGCCAATTTACAAGCTTGAGCATTACAGTTGAATTCATACATCCTTCAAGTTTCAGTTTAAGTATCAGTTCCTCAGTAAGAAAAACTGTAGAATTATATAACTTCTCCAATGTTATAAGACACACTGTTATTAACACCAACAATATTATATAACTCAAACTTATAATGAAGTAACTTGCCCCACTTCCTCTTCATCCTCTTTTTCAACATGTCAGCACCTTTTCCTTAATTTTTAGGACATGTTAAATCAATAGTCAATTTGTTTGTGCATGTGTGTGGACTTCTAAACATAAGGCCAAAAGGGAACATGTTTGACTTTTCGTATTTCTCATGGTGTTCCCATAAGAATGGGAATATAACAACATAATCTGGCCTATACTAAAAACTCAAAACATTTGCTCATTTATAAACACAAGAATTGATACATGGATTGACTATAAGAAAGGAACATTCAGAAGGAGATACCCAGAGGCAGTCTTATTTATTTATTTATTTTGAGACAGTGTTTCATTATGTAGTCCTTGGTGGCCTAGAAATCCCATTGTCAAAGAGATTTGCCTGAAACTCATAGAAATCTGTCTGCCACTGCCTCAGAAGTGCTGGGATCAAAGGTGTGTGCCACCATGCTCAATCAGTGTTAGTCATTTTTTTGTACAAAAATCTGGAGAATAAACAAATTCACCTTGGAAATGAAGTAATCAAAGACATGTCAAGAAGGGGAAACAGTATGTGAAAAAAACACTGGGATTACAAAGCATACCATGCAATTACTGATGGCATAGGCTAAAGAGAAGATAGTACAGGGTGCGGGGAGGTATGGCTTCATGGGCAGTTAATAGCTGAGGAGGCCCTTCTGACTCTCAAAATTCTTTGTTCTGTAGTTGCTAAGAAACCATTGCAACCTTTTAAGCAGAAGATAAAGATGATCAGACACATTATAGATTTTTCTGTTGGTCAATATCTTCACTTCTGGCCTGTTAAATCAACCTATAATACCTACCCATCACAATATGGACTGTAAAGACATGTCAGTGAGTAGGTGATAGTTTCCTGTGTTTATTTACTGTGTTCTTAATCTTACTTTTATCCCACTCTATGGATCCAAGTTTATGTCCAGCTCCTATCAGGTATTATGTCATTTTCATGCTTACTTCTACCCCAAATACCTGTCCAACTGTATTTTCCTTCTGATCTGAACACCAGAAGCCCATGAGCACTTTAGTTTATATTGGATTTGATGGTTCATTATGTTACTCTATGCATACAATAACAAAATCTATTCTAATTTTCACTCCTTGAGCTTTAGTTCTGACATCAGTTAGAAAATCAGTGTAAGGTCAGTTCAAAAAGGATGTGGACCTATGGTAAGGAGGTTAAGGTTAACTGTAGCAGGAATCTAAAAGTTCTTATTAATAAAATCAAACCCGAGGCCAGTTATTGAGGTCCATGCTGGTAGATCAGAGAGACAGAATAAGCCACAGCTATCTCACCTTACCAGTTCCTCAGCTGGTCCTGTTTCCTCAGACTGGAAGCTTCTGTGTCCTCATCCCAATAGCTCTCAGCTGAACTGTGTTGCTCCAAAGCCTGAAAGCTTAACCAGCCAAATGCTTAACCAGCCAAATGCCTAACCAGCCAAATGCCTTTAGTTTCTGGTCCTCACGCCTTATATATCTTTCTGCTGTCTACCACCACTCCCTGGGATTAAAGGCTGGCTTTCTGGGATTAAAGGTGTGTGTCACCATGCTTGGCTATTTCCAATGTGGCCTTGAACTCACAGAGTTCCAGAGGGATTTCTGTCTCTGGAATGCTAGGATTAAAGGCGTGTGCTATCACTGACTAACTAGTGGCTTGTCTGTTCTCTGACCCCAGGTAAGTTTATTAAGGTACACAATATTTTGGTGACACAATACCACCACAGTTAACTTTATCTAGGGATACATACATCTAGGGAAATTAATAGTTAGATGCTATTTTAAGCAAGAAAGTGGCATGTTCATTTATGTGAGTGTTTAAGAGACCATTTTTTTTTACAGAATGAATGATGGGTTGAAATCAGGAAAAATTTAAGGTAATGAAAATATTTATGCAGTCATGTAATTGGGGATGAAATATTTTAAATAAAAATAATGATGCTATGATTTTTTGAAATGGCAAAATGTATGTAAATTATTTGAATATTTTCACACTGAATTAGTGAACAATTACATATAAGGGACAGAGAAGAGAAAAGAATTAAGGTGAGGCTCCAGTTGAGATACTAGACAAAAGCAATAACATTTATGACTTAACATAAGAAATGAAATAGTGTAAAGGCTCAAGGCTCCATTTTAGACTTATTCTATCTGAAGCACTCCTAGATACATGAATTAATTCATATGTAGAACATTGGATATATGAGTATTGGTACTCTGAAAATGAACTGAGTTAGAAGCATAGTATCAGCAATCAGTCAGTGATGGCAGAGGCCATGAGAGAAAATTTAAGTATAATTTTCAGGAATATTTCAAAGTAAATTTTATAAGATTGAGTCGTAGATTTGGCCAGATAAGGATTGGCAGAGAAAGAAAAGCCTATAAAGACTACTCTATAATATTAGCCAGACTATAAGAGCTAGACAAGAAAAAGAAAACAATGTAAGTGTCTAAGGGTTTCTATTGCTGTGAAGAGACAGCATAACCACTGCAACTCTTACAAAGAAAAACATTTAATTGGGTGGCTTACTTACATTTCAGAGGTTTAGTCCATTGTCATCATGACAGGAAGCACAGTAGCATGCAGGTAGACATAGTGCTAGAGCTGAAAGTCCACACATCTTGATCCAATGGCAACAAAAATCAAACTGTCTCACTGGGCATGGCTTGAGTGCATATAAGCCCTCAAAGTCTACCTCCACAATGATAAACTTCCAAACCACCACAATCTACTCCCTGGTCCCCAAAGGCTTGTAGCTATATCATAATGCAAAAAAAAATGCATTCAGTCCAACTTCAAAAGTACTCATATTGTATAACAATCTCAACTTATTTAAAAATCTAAAGTTCAATTTCTCTTTTGAGATTCATGCAAGCTCTTAACTGTAATCCTCTGTAAAATCAAAATCAAAATGCAGATCACATGCTTCCAACATATAATGGCACCAGATATACATTATCATTCCAAAACATAGGGAAGGAAGCATAGTGAGGAAATACTGGACCAAAGCAAGACCTAAAACAAGATGGGCAAATTCCAAGCTCTGCATCTCCATGTCTTGTGTCAAACGCTCTTCACATCTCTAACTCCTTTCAGCTTTGTTGACTGCAACATACTTCTTTCTCAGGCTGGTTCCACTCCCTGTTATCAGCTTTCCTTGGCAGGCATCACATGGCTCTGGCACCTCCAACATCTTGGGGTCTCCAAGGAAATCCAGGCTTCACCTTCATAGCTTCATGCAATGGCCTCTTTAGGCCTCCATTCAGGGACATATCTGACACATGCCTGGCCTCAGCCATGTTCCTTAGTCATGGAGGAGGGTTCCATAATACCTTTCTTTTATTCTTGAAGCCAGAACCACGTGGCTAAAGCTGCCAAATTCTGCTGCTAACTGGGACTGGAACATGGCCCCCTCGTTCAATTACATCTTCAACAGCTTTCTGTTTCAGATAGTTTTCTTCACTGCCTAACCTTGACTATCCTGAAACTGGATCTGTACACCAATTTGGCCTTGAACTCAGGGATTTTTTAATTATAACTTTATCAGTTTTCTGTTTTCCATGATTTCCTTCATTGTCTAAGCTTGGCTGTTCTGGAACTTGCTCTGTAGACCAGACTGGCCTCAAACTCAGAGATCTGCCATCCTCTGCCTTCCCAATGCTGGGATTAAAGGCATTCACCACCACTCCTGACTCTAAGCTTTTCTTTAATTCTTTTTCACAAGTTGGAAACTTAGCTGGGTAGGATCTTACCCTGAGGTCACCACCCATTTTATTTCATTTCTTAATCTGTTTATTTCCTTGAATACAGGACATAACCCCATTCCACTTAACTCTACTTCTGGTGCTCCTTTTCTCCTCAAATTGTTCTACATCTTGTATATTTTTTTCTTGCTCAGCTTTCTCCTTTTCATTATAAATCTTCATTAGAGTTACCACTAATAACCACATGGCAGAGTTTATACTAGGCTGTTTTGGGATTTCCTCTGCCAATGAATTAATCAAAAACTCTTCACTTTAGCCTCAGGCAGACTCTTCAGACAAGGGCAAAAAGCAGCCACATTCTTCACCAAAATACCACAAGAATGTAGGCCACATATTAATATTGTTCTCCTCTTGATCTAGCCCCCCATGATTCAAATCAGCCTCAGCACAACTGTCTTCCATGCTTCTAGGATGCCACATTAAGAGCATTTAAAGCATTCACCTGCTTTTCTAACCCACAGTTCCATGGTCCATGTACTTTAAAACCAAAAACACGGTCTGGCCTATCACAGCATTACCCAAGGCCCTGATACCAACTTCTGTCTTAGGGTTTATATTGCTGTACATAGACTCTGTAACAACTATAACTCTTATAAAGAAAAACATTTAATTGGAGTGGTCCACTGACACTTCAGATGTTTAGTCCACTATCATCATGGCTGGAGGCAAGGCAGCATACAGGCAGACATGGTGCTAGAGGTGTGAATCCTTATATATTGATGCAAAGAGAACAGGAAGTAAACTGTCTCACTGAGCATGACTTGAGCATATATGAGATCACAAAGCCCACATCTACAGTGACACACTTCCTTCCACAAGATAATACCTACTCCAGCAAGGCCATACTTCCTAATAGTGCCTCTCCCTTTAGGGGCCTTTTTAAAAAATCACCATAGTAAGCAACACAAAACAGATAAATCATTTCATTTAGAAAAACAATCCTTACAACTGTGTAATATACAGTTTCAGTGATAAGCAAGTACTTTCTATCTTTAAATATTCAGAAAAAAAGTATTGAAAAAGAATATTAAGTGCAGTAGATGATCAAGTAAATTTACATATAAAAATACCCACTGAACTCTTCTTTTAAGAAACCAAGAGCAACCTCTAATGCAATTCTATCAATTAATCCAAATAATAACATATTTAAGTTCATTTATATGTCTTTATGTCTTATTTAATTTCAGTGAATTGATTTTACATATGATTATTTTTAAAAAATTCTGTTTCCTGGGGGTTTTCTAGTTAATTTTGATTGGAGAACATTTCCATAGAACTAGTGGATTTTGAAGGGGACATATTGTCTTGATCTTGTGTTTTTGTGAGGTGACCTGGGAATGTGGACTTCTTTTCTTGGTTATGTGTCTGATATGACTCTAGTCTGCCTCTATTGACTTAAGTTTGGTTCTATTTTTGCTGTTTCTCTCTCTCTCTCTCTCTCTCTCTCTCTCTGTCTCTCTCTCTCTCTCTCTCTCTCTCTCTCTCTCCCCCAGACAGGGTTTCTCTATGCAGTTTTGGAGCCTGTCCTGGATCTCACTCTGTAGACCTAGCTGGCCTCCAACTCACAGAGATCCTCTTACCTCTGCCTCCCAAGTGCTGGGGTTAAAGGAGTGCACCACCATAGCCCAGCTTGCTGTTTCTCAAGCTTGGTTGATTTTGGACTTGATCTGAAATCCTTTGGATCATTCATGTTGATTTTTGTTTGGAAGAATGGGTAACCAAGAAAATGACTCTTGACTGGGTCTGTCTGAGCTGGTGCACTTGAGCATATTTACAGAATGTTTAGAACACAGCTTCTTAATAGAGTAGCAGAAATATAGGTTGGATCACAAAACACCTGACAACAGTAAAACATTTCTGAACATGGAGCAAACACATTTTAATTTGAAATCAAATATAATGAATACATGGTGTTTCTAGATATACTTATCTGTGTTATATTTTGTGATTTTACTACCATCTTGGTTTGTAATGTACAACATGCCCACTTTGTGCTGCATATACTATCATGTCATGCAATGCCATCAAAAGCTGCCTGGAACACCCCAGGTCAGATAAGAGACTATTGTATATACTGTG